ACATTACACTACACTACATTACACTGAATGACACTGCACAAAAGATAGACAGGTAGACAGCTAGACAGATAGATAGATTAGATAGATAGATAGATAGATAGATAGATAGATAGATAGATTAGAATAGATTAGATAAGATAAGATAAGATAAGATGAGATAGGAGAAGATAGATAGATAGATAGATAGATAGATAGACAGATAGATAGATAGATAGATAGATATGATAGATATGATAGATAGGATAGATAGGATAGATAGGATAGATAGATAGATAGATAGATAGATAGATAGATAGATAGATAGATAGATAGATAGATAGATAGATAGATAGATAGATAGATAGATAGATAGATAGATAGATAGATAGATAGATAGATAGATAGATAGATGATTGATAGATAGATAGATAGATAGATAGATAGATAGATAGATAGATAGATAGATAGATAGATAGATAGATAGATAGATAGATAGATAGATAGATAAGATAGATAAGATAGATAAGATAGATAGAAGGATCGAGGGATAGATAGATCGATAGATCGATGAATCGAGATCGATAATCGACATAGATGATCGAACGCATAGATAGATAGATAGATAGAGGGAGAAAATGATGGATGGATTGATGGATTAGATGGATAGATGGATAGATGGGATAGATGGAGAGATGGGATAGATGGATAGATGGAGAGATGGATAGATGGGTTAGTGTGATAGATGGATAGATGGATAGATGGATCGATGGATCGAGGTAGTGGATAGTGGATAGGATGGATAGGATGGATAGATGGAATAGATGGATAGATAGATAGATAGATAAGATAGATTAGATAGAGAAGATATAGATAGATATAGATAGATATAGATAGATAGATAGATATGATAGATAGATAGACAGGTAGACAAGAGTGAGAGAGATCAATCGCCTTTCAGTCCAGCAGTGGCTTCGCTCTGCCATCTCTGATTCACAACAACCAATCTCTCCTATAGGTTTCCTATTTTTGAAACTTCCGCCACCGCCTTGTGCGGTACTACTGGTATATCATGTACGATTTTTGAGACTACTGCAACGCAGTCCGTCGCAACGTTCTTGCTACGACATTGTTCATCGCGGTTGTTAGGGCTATCATATCTATCATATCTATCATATCTATCATATCTATCTATCTATCTATCTATCGATCTATCGATCTATCGATCTATCGATCTATCGATCTATCGATCTATCGATCTATCGATCTATCTATCTATCTATCTATCTATCTATCATATCTATCATATCTATCTTATCTATCTATCTATCTATCTATCTATCTATCTATCTATCTATCTATCTATCTATCTATCTATCTATCTATCCTATCTATCCTATCTATCCTATCTATCCTATCTATCCTATCTATCCTATCTATCCTATCTATCATATCTATCCTATCTATCCTATCTATCATATCTATCATATCTATCATATCTATCATATCTATCATATCTATCATATCTATCATATCTATCATATCTATCTTATCTATCTATCTATCTATCTGTCTATCTATCTATCTATCTATCTATCATATCTATCATATCTATCATATCTATCATATCTATCATATCTATCATATCTATCATATCTATCATATCTATCATATCTATCATATCTATAATATCTATCATATCTATCATATCTATCATATCTATCATATCTATCATATCTATCATATCTATCATATCTATCATATCTATCTATCTATCATATCTATCTATCTATCTATCTATCTTATCGATCTATCTGTCTAGCTGTCTACCTGTCTATCTTTTGTGCAGTGTCATTCAGTGTAATGTAGTGTAATGTAATGTAGTGGAGTGTAGTTGTAGTTGTAGGTGGTAGTGGAGTGTAGTGTAGAGTAGTGTCGTGAAGTGTAGCGGCAGGTAGTGTAGTGTAGTGTAATGTAGTGTCGTGTAGTGGAGTCTAGTGTAGTGTAATGTAGTGTAGTGTAAGGTAGTGTAGTGTAGTGGAGTGTAGTTGTGTAGTTTTAGTTGTAGTGTTGTGGAGTGTAGTGTAGTGTAAGGTAGTGTAGTGTAGTTTAATGTTGTGTAGTGGAGTGTAGTGGAGTGTAGTTGGGTAGGTGTAGTTGTATTTGCAGTGTAGTGGAGTGTAGTGTAGTGTAATGTAGTGAAATGTAGTGTAGAGAGTGTAGTGCAGTGTAATTTAGTGTAGTGGACTGTAGTGGACTGTAGTGGACTGTAGTTGTGTAGTTGTAGTTGTAACCTGTAGTGTTGTGAAGTGTAGTGTAATGTAATGTAGTGTAATGTAGTGTAGTGCAGCAAAGTGTAGTGTCATGTAGTGTAGTCGAGTTAAGCGAAGCAACATCTGAACCGCCAAAAGTGGTCCGAAACCCTAGTGTTTTTAACATGTTAACTTCCAAATCTGCTTCGCGCCACAACGGCGTGCACTTTTTCGAAACTCGACATCTCAGCCTCCAAAAGTGGTCCGAACATGGTGTGGTTTGTACATTTTGACTTCGAAATATGCTTCGCGCCACAGCGGCGTGCACTTTTTCGAAACTCGACCTCTGAGCCTCCAAAAGTGGTTCGAACCCCTGGTGTTTTGCACATTTTGACTTCGAAATGTGCTTCGTGCCACAACGGCGTGCACTTTTTCGAAACTCGACCTCTGAGCCTCCAAAAGTGGTCCGAACCCCTAGTGTTTTTAACATTTTGACTTGGAAATGTGCTTCGCGCCACAACGGCGTGCACTTTTTCGACATCTTAAGTGCCAAAAGTGGTCCGCACTTGGTGTGTTTTTTACATTTTGACTTGGACATGTGCTTCGCGCCACAACGGTGTGCACTTTTTCGACATCGCAACTTCCAAAAGTGGTCAGACCCTGGTGTGTTTTGTACATTTTGACTTGGGGATGTGCTTCGCGCCACAACGGCGTGCACTTTTTCGACATCTGAAGCGCCAAAAGTGGTCCGATCCTCTGGTGTTTTGTGCATTTTGACTTGGAAATGTGCTTCGCGCCACAACGGCGTGCAATTTTTCATGTCTCATCTCCCCATATGTCTCCGCACCCGCCGCTTTAGCGAGCCTACTTTTCGACCCTCCGGAACCACAAATCATTGGAAAAACACAGTGAATCGCGACTTTCCTACCTTTTCGCGCATCTGCATCTTCTTTCTTCTGACTCTTTCTCTTCTGAACTTTCTCTTCTCTCTGCCTCTGCCCTGCTCTGCTTTTCATCTGTCCATATTGTCGGAAGTTTAGCTTCTCAACTTCCTTCGACAATATAGTTAAAGATATGTATCTATATATATATACACATAATAATTCCATGATATATATATATACTAAATAATCTCAATATACATATAGATTCGTATATATATATATGCATACTCTACCCAGCAATTGTGGGATATTGCGCTTTGGCTAGTGGTTGCCGAAGCATAATCGCTGCCCCTTGCTCAGCATATCTAGATCATTTGGTGGATTTTCCGCAAGGGTTCCTCCAAGATATTCTCTTCAACCAAAAGACTTCGCTAATGACATTTCAATATGTTTCATATATATGTATATTCGTATATATATAGTTATCATGTATAATAACTAGAACACCTATAATGACTAGAAATACTATAATAACTAGAACATAATTATCACAACTATATTGAACCCCCCCTTCGATTCCCCCAAGGTCCGCCTCTAAAGCCGCGTTTGCAAGAAGTCACCCCGCGGGCCCACTTTTTGCACCAAGATTCCAGCACCAGGATAGCCCTAAGTCAGTTGCTTTGGGTACATGCTGGGGTCAAAACACCACGTTTGTGAATCCCCACACTGTTCTACACATGTACACACCAGAATCAACCCCATCCGCGTTGCAACAATGTGCTGCCCCCAGTTACACGTTGCCTCGCAAACCCCATAACCTGATATTTATACATATATCTAACTATATGTATGTATTTATATATATATGTCTGTGTGTCTGTGTGTGTGTCGTGTCCCCCCTCCCTGAAACCTACCTTTTTGGTACCCGCCCTCGAGTCCAAACCCAGAAAACTTTTTTCGATATCCGCCCCAACTCCACCCACGTCTGTCCGCAGCGGATATGCCTCGTTCCCTTGCTCTCTTCTCCTGTTCCAACCCACGCCTACCTTTCGATCTTTCACCCTTCCCTCTCAAGTTTTTTCACCATCCCTGTCGCCATCTCCAGGCGAATGCCAAGGACAACGAGGCGATTCTGAATTTTGTCTTGGTCAGTGCCTTCTTGGGCCTCTTTGCAGCACAGGTGGCGGATGCCTACAAGGAGGATAAGTGAGTGCCCAGCTTGTTGCAGTGATGCACAGTGATGCAGGGAAGATTCACAAGATGAACCAATGAACCTATTTTTGTTTTCTTACTTTGGAACCAATAAGTCAATAAGTTGTGTTTTGTAAACCGTTCCATGAACGAAGACACAGAATTCCACCCAATTAGCATCAGCCTGCGACATCTTATGACTTGTGATGTTTCCACGTTGACGGACGCAAGATGCATCCGGGGCACGTCTCAAACATCTCTCAGAGCTAGCGCTGGATTTTCCCTGGAGAGTGGGGGACAGCAACCTGGAGAATGTAACTTCAGAGGCGTGCTAAAAGGCATGGATTTGAACATATTTTTTTAAAATGGATCGGCAACTTTGCCGGTCACAGTGATGTCAAAGTGCCCTTGCTGATGGCTGGTGGCAAACCATATGACTTTGTGTATCGCAACGTCTTGAGTACAGATCCTTGAGCTTCGAACATTTGAACGAGGAGTCTGTGCCAGGAAGATTTGAGCCTACGCAGAAAAAAACATTTGCAGAACCACCCGCCTGCACAAAATTTGTCCGCTTGGCACGGAGAAACCCATGGTTTCAGGATCGCTTAGGGGCTGACTCTATCAGTGCAATATTAACATTATCAACCGAGATGAGGCCAAGCATCTATTTGGTTTGCATCAACCCTTCCCTTTGAGCATGTTTCCTGTTTCGACTCCTCGACCCAGGGAATACGAGAAGAGTGTCAGAGACAAGCCCGGCTTCCAATGGCTGCGGATCAATCTATGACAAGAACAGTGTCAATGGGAGCTGCCAAGAGAACAGTATCAAAATTTGCTGCCAAAATGAGGCCTAATTTCCATCGGATTCCATCCCCCTTTAGTATCCTTCAGTTCCATTCTCCGACAGTTTCATCAGGTGTTACTTCGACATCAGTATCGGCAACCGATATGCTGGTCGCATCGTTTTTGGTCTTTACTCCGAAATTGCCTGGGACCCTGGGACTCGGGACCTGATTCTGCTGACTGTGACTCCTAGGAGGGACGCCATTTTAAGATGTTCTAAGCGGAGTTGCGATCCCAGTAGTTTCAAAGATGATAAGCTGGAATGTCCATCCAAGCACTCATATAGTCAAAGTCTTATAGAAGTTGTTGCTTTCAACGGGGTCATCCCCTAGCATTTTTGGCTAAGATCCCTTCTCCCAGAGGTCCCTTTGACCTGCGAAAACTTCATTCAGCTCTGCTGCTTGGTGTGTATCAAGAGGTACCAAAGGGGCAAGGTGTGCCAATCATGGGTAGAAAGTGATCCATGCACATGGATTATACCATGATTATACATGATTGTTCCTTTTGAGTTTTGAGTCCTAATCCGATCCATCGAGATTATTTTCTGTGCAAAAACCTGGACATCATTTTGGTTTCCCATCGGAGCCTGGGTTCAGCCACCATAAACATCACCTGGAACTCACATTCCGGCGAGGCCAAACGATGACATGGTGGCACCCGTTTGGACTAGTTTTACCGATGTGGCACACAGGAGACGACAGAATGACAGAAAAACTGGGGAAACATGTGGAAATGATATATGAAATGGTATCCACAAAGGCGCACATGCAATTAGCAAGACTTCCAAAAGAAAGAATGATTAACACATGAGGGTTTCCTAAAATGGGGGTACCCCCAAATCATCAATTTTAATAAGATTTCCCCTTATAAACCATCCATTTTGGGGTATCCCCCATTTATGGACACCCCCACATGAGCTTGACCGCTGAGGCAAGGGCTACCGCGTCAAAGATCGCGTGATAGGTACCTTCCGACTGAACCGAGAAGTTCCAGATGACTGTCCTTTGTTGAATCTATAGTAACCCCAAAGGAAAACCAATCAGTAATCTATCCTAATCTATAATTGTAGTAAGATGTCATTTTCATAGTTTTTTGGGTGACGATCATATCGGACGGTCAAACTCCACATTTCCAAAAGGATCGGAACTGTTTTTCCAGAGTTCCATCCGGGCAGGGCACGGCCCATGGGGGCCACCATGGGGCACAGGTTACCAGAACACCATTTTCCACATCATCAAGCCCGGTTCCGCCATTGCAGGAGCTAACCGCGCCTCTTTCACGTTTCTTGGGGGTTTGAGTTTTGCTGGCGCTGCGACCAGGAGGAGATGTCCTGGATGGTGCGGGGAAGACACGCGGCCTAAGTATCTATGGAGAGGTAGGGCATGCGGACCGGAAATCCACGAATTGCTGGGTCTCTTTCTAATCTTTCTAAAGACGTAGAGGGGCCGACTAGAGGCCAAATTGGATGGACCTTGAATCTGATGATCCATCAATTTTCATCAATTTTCACGAATTTTCCAGGAGTACCAAATCCATGATTTAGAGGGTATGGGACATCCTAAAAGAAAGTCCTAAGGGGAAACCATGGCATCCAGAGGGTGGCTTGGTCTCACTGGAAGTTTTCGCTCAGCAATTCCCGGACGAAAACTTCGAAGTGGAATTCACCCGGGATGGCGATCTGGTCAGGGAAACCCAGAGGGACAGACTGATTTTCCATGGAGATAGTCCTTGAAGTTAGTGAAACGGTCTACTAGTATAGTTCTAGACAGTTATAGTATGTCAAAAAGGAACAAGGCTTTCCCTTCTGTTTGCAGGTGAGATGGGATATGGGATATGTCCTGAGTCTGGAAAACGCTTGCAGTACTACTTTCCTGGAAAACGCTTGCTTTCTCTGAGGCTATGTGCAACTGGGGTAAAAACACCAACTCATCCTTCTTCATGATCACTTTGTCGCAGCTTGGCTTGCTGAAAATTGTTGTGAGGCCCCACTGCAAGTCGAAGTTGTCAGCTGACGGATCACCGTGAACCTTTCGCGATCTTGCCAAGTACGGCTTCTTGATCCGGCTCTACAAACATGTTTAGCCTTTTTTAAAGTTGATGGAATGTCATAGCATATTTAGGATGCATTGGCAATCCATTTGTCGAGTTTTGTAGATCCTTCTTTGTAGCCTCGGAATGTTGTTGTCTCGCTACTAGGAGATACATTGCGAGGCCATTCCCGGTTTGTAAACCTACTGGGACAAAAAGAATGTGACATGGACAAGTTATGGAGAAAGATTACGACAAAAAACACTTAAAAACACAACATATTTATTTCTTACCTTCAGGGATTATCTCTCTAGTTTTCCAGCTTGATTTGGACATAGCCCAGGCAACAGCGAGCCTTCAATAATCACCACGTGTGCTTCGGCACCGTGCTGAAGGGCATGCGTGTGGTGCGCGAGATTGGCGAGCTGGGAACCAAGGCAGGATGAGAGAAGGATGTATTTACACATGCTCTGTATCATTATATCATAGACCATTCATAGACTATATCATCTCATGTCTATATATTATGCATTGAGTACATATATATATATGTAATATATATATATATATGTGTAATATATCTATATATATATATATATATATGTGTAATATATATATATATGTAATATATATATATATATATATATGTAATATATATACATACATACATACATATATATATATATGATGTACGTATATATATATATATAACTACATGTATATAATATACATATGTATGTATTGTATGAGTATTATAGTGTGGATATGTGTAGATGTTTTACCAGATTCGCTTCATCCGGATGTGCCGGAGGTGGGACGCCCGGCATTGCCCATCCGCATCGTGCAGTGCGGTGTGCTGGAGGCGACCTGTTGGTGATGTTCGTTGGTGATGGCAACCATATCTGGTTGGAAAATGGCGGTTTTAATGGGAAAACCATGGGAAAATCATAGGAAAATGGAGGTTTACCCTCTGGTAAATGTTTAACATCGTTTCACTATGGAAAGATCCACCATTTTTAATAGGGAAATCAACTATTTCTATGGCCATTTTCAATAGCTATGTTAAATTGCCAGTAATATTATGTGGGATTTTCTGTTGGCTGGTGATTTTCTATCAATTATCTGTTTCTCACGGTTTCTCCCACATGATATCCCTATGATTCTGACCCATAGAGTCACAGAATTGGTTGGTAAAAAAACATCACCCCTGCGTTTGGGGGTCAGAACACCAAAAACCATAATTTCCTAAGTTTCCTTTAGATTATCCCTTCAATCCATTGATCATATCCTCCAGAAAATGATCAATGAATATATCATCACATAGCATCTATGGAAAAAAAACAGCAGATGAAAGTAGATGTAAGTATCCTAAGCCAAATTGATTTCCATCTCCTTAATCTATCTGAATCTATCTTAATCTTACATCTTACCAGGGAAGGTCGGCCACCAGGATGATGCAGATCCACCACCGCCTCCCAGTGGTGACTGGGCCGATGAGGCAGCACCAGTGATGACAGAGGACGCCGACAAAAACATTGTTGGTGTATCATGTCGTGTTAAAAACACTCTCTCAGCATGTAACACTATGTAACACTATGACTATGTAATACTATAGTATATTATACAAAATTATATATATATATATTAAATAGACAGTAATTGATGCATACCTATATACAAGTCATATATGATATAGACACTTGTTTGATAACTGTGTCATTTAGATGCCACGTGGTCTATTGATCAATCGTAATCATCCGCCACGGTTTCTCGGGTGCTCCATTGAGCTTGCAGCCATTTCTGGATGATGTTCCACTGTTCCACGATATTTCAGAGGAATTTCCTCCTATCAAGGGTACTTTCCATCCAACAAAACTTAGCAGACTTAGCATATATATATATATTCCTCTGGAACATCCATCATTTTTTGCCAGAAAACAGGGATATTCCGATTGAACTCATGGGAATTTTCCCGTGGGTCACCGGATTGTCCGCAGGATGAATTCCGATCGCTGAGTGCTCACCAGAAACCCGGCGCCGTGCAGCCATCCTGATTCTTCAGGTGCGAAAAGGGGGGGCGAAATGCTGAAAAGTTCATGAATTCTTGGGACATTAGTTGGGGAAATGCTTAGATTGTATCTACAATAATAGCTGGGTATGTTTCTGGCAGTTCCAGTTGGAGTAACCTAAAATTAGATGGGGCCCTCCAATGTGGCCGAGAAGATTTAAAAGGTAATCAAATACTGGTGGAGATGAACACACCTATAGGACCTATCTATAATGATCAGATAATGTTAATCCTGTTGGTAGATATCCTGCTTACCATCCCCCGCAGGGTCGAGCTGTGCGGTGGTACCTCATTTTCTAGTGGCTGGGTCATATGGAAAAGATCGAAAAGTCACTGTTTAGCTTGGGATCAAATACTTACTTTGTTGATTTATAGATATATTTTCCCTCCTGAAAACTGATGCGGAAACGCAACATAGGCTCCAGAAGACTAGGTTCGCGTTGGAAGTGGCCAAATTTAGCTCCATGTTGGTTTTCAAGGCTGTAAAGAAAGTGGATTTGACCACAACCATAAGGGATGTCCATTGGATGGGATATTTTCTATGGGATTTGATGATACTTGACAGTGCTGAACAATTTTACATGTTATATCATGTTATTTGATACATTTTGATACTATATAGCATATAGCTGATTGACTTGGTACTATCAATAGAATCCTGAGGACATGACTCGACGTTGGGTGCAGATCTACAAGGGTCCCTGCAAGGATGGCATCTGCTGCGAGCCGTCGCGGCCATGCGTCAAAAGTCACGGCGCCGCTGATCCTGGAAGAGTCTGTGGCAAAACGGCGCGTTTTTGGACGATTTTTCACATGACATGAATCAATGAACACAATCATTATGATCATTGAAGGACCGATGAATCAGATGAATGGAACACATGGACATGGATTTCCGCAGTGGTTCAAAGCTACAACTGAGACAAGACCAGGTTCACCTCAACTGTTGGTGTCCCCATGTCTCCCTATGGAAATTCAGAAATTCTGAGACAGCAGGATCTCTTGATATTTCTTGGCCAAGATATTCTTGAAGTTTTGCATTACCAAACATATTTAGCATCCCAATCCGGCATCTTAGTGATACTGACATTTGCTGGCCCCACGGCGCAGAACAGAAGTGGAACTCCTCGACCGCGGCGGTTGAGTAGTTGGGCCCCATGCCGCGCAGCCGGTCTCGGCGGCGGGGGCATTCTGGAGGCCCAGAATTTGGCTTTTGGTAGGGGATGGTAGGGGTATATTAGTATTGTTGGTTTTACAATGTTTTAAATTCATTTTTGTGTTTTTTTGATGGCTAAAGCGGCTAAACCATGTTAGACCCCAATTCGGGGTGGCGAACATAGCAACAACCAGCACCCCATCAAGGGTCAGCTTTTTGGATGAGACTTGGGGTTGGAGCGAAGCCCGAAAAGAGCTGATTGTATTCCCCATTTTGCGGAGAAAACTCCGCCGCCATGATAAGCTGAGTCTGGAGGGAGCATGATCTTTGTCAGTTGAAATGATGCACCTTCCGAAAGTGAGTTGTCGGAATTTGATCCCTTAGTGTACGTCAGCAAGTTTCTGACTGCTCATGAATTCAATGATGGGTAGAGGTTTACACATATCACTTCTGCCTACAGTTTGGGGAGAGCTGATTATTTGTTTTCCAAGGTAGCCAAGGTTCTTCATAGCCTAAGAGCTTGGCTGCCAACTGGCGAAACACATTGCTGCGACTGATGATCATCATAATTATCACTAGTTTGATTCAAAAACCAAACCATGCTGACTATGATGATACTGAGGGTTCTGCTGACAATCTTACGGCACGATGATGAACGAAGTTTTTCAGGCTCACGTGATGTCCAGGTGATAGAAGTCGAAGCCGCCGGCATGAAGGTGCACGGTGTCAAACCACCGTCTTGGGATGTCTTGGGACTTTCAACTTCACGCATGGTCTCTTTGTGCAGAGATTTGCAGAGAAAAAACAGGGGAAAATTACAGGAATCCCAGCTTTTCGCCATTGAACATGGTAGTTTTCTAAGGAAAATTTGAGTAACGGTAACACGTTTGTACAGTACATGGAAGTGGATGAAACTCCTCCGTTGTTGCCGAGATATATGATATCTGTAGACATATGATGACATATGTATATGATTGTATATGCAACTATATACATGCATACCAACTATATATATATATATTCTATATATACACATACATACGTCTATATATTAGACTTATATTAGCCTGAATGGCGCGACAAGACCGGACGCATTAGCTACCCCAAAGACGGGGGCGTGCTGCGTGCGGTCTCAGGTAGCCGTCTGGGTCCTCAGCAAACGATCCATGCTTAGGCGATTGATATTTGGGACCTGACATGGGAGGGATGGGATTAATGGACCTATGGGGCCCTATGTTGGAAAAAAACTGCATGTTGCTGACCTGAATTCGAACTCCTGAAACAGGCAACAAAAAAAAGCAACAATCGACGAGAACACGTACTGTAATCACGTAATAGCTGTGAAATAAGCTGCTAGTCCATCTTATTGGCTACATCAACTGTATCAATCAATTTCATGTTTCATGTATATATATAATTATATGCATTATATATAATAGTCAATTACATCAATCAGTTATATGTTTCTGCTGATTGCTCCAATTTGTGATGTGTGTTGTGGATTCTCCACGTTTGGTCTTGATCTGTCCACAAGGTCGAAGGCGTCATCGGGACGACAAGGATGAGTTCAGTGGGGCCTTCTCATTGGGGCGACTGGTGCAACTGTGCAACGGCATGTGCCGTAGTTTACTGGATAAACTGACTGGATGGATAGTTGAATACCGTTACAGGTTTTTTTGTTCAACATATATATATATATATGTGTGTGTGTTTCTTTTCAACAATAATAATAGTAGTTCATAGTGTAATAATAAGTTATTTCCGTACCATGCCTATGTATATACATGTAGGTATTTGCCTAAGCAGCTAAACATTGGACCTTTTTCAATATCCATGAAATTGAAACTCAGAAACAAAACAAAAAAAAACTCAGTCTAGCCAGGGCTGCAACTATCCCATGAAGAATCCTAAGATTCCATGATTGACAGCAGGGATGATACGCAGAGGCGTCCCCTTTTTTCTGTGAAATTGTCAAGCTGGTGAATGAATATTAGTTCTAGTAATTCAGTTTCTATAGGTACTGTATATTCCATATTATATTCCATATTATATTCCTTTATTACTATAAGAAAATATCATTCGAGAATCGAGACTCTGCGCTAAGATCCTGCCGCTGCGGCTTTAGCCATGCCCTATGGTGGCTACGCCAGGGCCTTGGCTATAGCAATAGCAAGACATTTTTTTTTAAACCAGGAGTTGGTGGTGGGGTTGGGATTTAACATGATTTAACCATCAAATACCATCAAGAATCGGTGGTTTTCACCATGAAAACAACAAGGACTTTTGGCATGAGGATCGAAACATCAGGAATGCAGATTGAACCACCCAGATGCAGGGTTGCTTAGTGTAAGCAACAGAAATGCGGATGCAACCAGCACCAGTTTGAAGTGAACACCGAAAGCATTTACACATATATATATATAATGTAATATAATATATATATATATATTATATAAATTATATATAAATTATATATATTAATATAATATACATACATTTTTTTGTATATCTATGTATATGTAACAATGTATATTGGGTATGTCGAAACATCGGGGATCTTAGACATCCTGCTGGTTTCGCTGGGAATTCCCAAGGCTTATCCTGCCAACTACTGGGACTATGTGCCATGCTCAGCGGGGAGTCGTGGCCTTGAAATGGATATCCCATGGATGTTGGGTGTCACTTGGGATCTTAGATGATCTTAGATGATCTTAGATATGCAGAATGACATTTTCTAGGATTTCAGACATCACTGGTTGGTGGTTTGGAGCCATGGAATTTTTATATGACTTTCCATTCAGTTGGGAATAATACTCCCAACTGACGAACTCCATCATTTTTCAGAGGGGTAGGTATACCACCAACCAGATATACACTGGTTTAATGGGACGGGATTATAGTGAGACTGCAAAAAGTGAATTTTCTCTGCCTTCGTGACTCTAATGGAGCCATCATCCCGTAATTGTCCATGTGTCAAGACGACTTGGATCCCTCAAATCACTGCAAGATGACCCAAAATAGGTTCGTATTTCAGCCAGCTAAGCATGGGTTTTGGGTGACGACTCACCTATTTTGGTTTGTCCAAAAATGACATTGACCTGAATCTGTATGGTAATCTTTGAACATGGCAATCTTTAAAAAGATACATGTGTACATACAAACACATATATACATTGATATCTATTGATATCTATCTATCTATCTATATATCTATCTATCTATCTATCTTATCTTTTCTAATCTAATCTTATCTAATTTTATCTAATCTTATCTAATCTTATATATCTAATCTTATCTATCGATCGATCTATCTATCTAGCTATCTAGCTATCTAGTTATCTATCTATCTATCTATCTATCTATCTTATCTTTTCTAATCTAATCTAATCTAATCTTATCTAATTTTATCTAATCTTATCTAATCTTATATATATAATCTTATCTATCTATCGATCGATCTATCTAGCTATCTAGCTATCTAGCTATCTAGCTATCTAGCTATCTAGCTATCTAGCTATCTAGCTATCTAGCTATCTAGCTATCTAGCTATCTAGCTATCTAGCTATCTAGCTATCTAGCTATCTATCTATCTATCTATCTATCTAGCTATCTATCTATCTATCTATCTATCTATCTATCTATCTATCTCTATACTTTGACATTATATATATATATATAAAAATACATATTATAGTTATAGACTTGTTATGAGATGGACCGGCCTTTTCCCAACATTTTCAGCGCACAGGCCGCGCAAGCCGCACAGCCGCCAGGGGAGGACGAATGAGTCAGCGGTCTGCGGTGTCAAATTTCCCCAAAAATTCAGATGGACGACTTTGCCATTTTTAGAGGGCTGGAAGATGAGTTTTCAGTAAACATTGGCTGTTTTCAGGGTCTATGGAAAAAAAAACAGAGGGTAAATCCCTTCAAACATGTTGAGGTAGCCCATTGCTTCACATCTCCGCCTATGTTGGTTTGGTCTGAAGATTTCTCATATCATTCAAAGCATTGATCACCGATCACGGGTCACACCAAGTTTTGTCCCACGCATCTGGTTTGCTCAAGTCGAGAATCAGCGGCAGGTAGATGGTTTTGACAGGGACTCCGGTGACTCCTGGTGTAGTTGGAAGAGTCTTAAGATTCCCCAAACGAATCTATTGGGTGAGTCTGAAAAAAAACTCAGCAGTGGAGTCTCAGCTGAAGCCAAGCCTTGGCCGCAATGGTGGAAGATCAGGCTGACAGCAGGTGCGGTGGGATTTTTATTGTGCGTCAGGAGAGTACCTTGTAGAATCTAAGAGGCTTTCCACCTGCCTTGGTGCTGTGACATGCCGTGACAGGAACCAGAAGGGCACAGCCATTGCCTTTAATTATGATTCAGATACCAGAAGGTCGCGGCGGCGTTCCAGGATCGCTTGGGAGACATAATGAGTCCTTTGGGTACCTTAGGTTTTGGGGATGGGATGGTTGGAAGCAGGGTTGGTAGCTGTAATGATATGTAATGATGCAAAAGTGGAGCAACTCTAATAGGTGAACGCTGACTAGCTGAGACCATGCAAAGCAAGGGTGCAAGGTGCCAAACCATCATGTCATTGATGTTTTCGACCTGCGACTGCGGCTTCAAATTGGTCATTAGGTGATTTTTTCAGCCCCATATGAGGGAAAGCTTCAAAGCCTGCAATGCGTTTGGTTGCCCCTTGCAGGACTCCAAATAAAGAAGCTGGAGAAGAGAAACGCAAACAGCAGCGGGAAAAACGAAAGGCCATGGGCTTTGGAGGTGGTTTGGCTACGTACCATTAGCAACCATGAGCACGAACTAAGAGCTTGACGTTCAACAAGAAATCACCGATGTTTCATGTCTTTCTAGGAACATACATCAGCTGAAGATGCTGAAGATCAGGCGCTCTTCGCGACCCCTGTAACGAAGCCAGCAGCGCCAATTGAAGAGGCACTGGCTACCCATGTCATCCTGTAGAATCCGGTAATAGCGCGAAGTGTCGGTTAATTTTGGATCACAATCCAGTTTGTGTGTTGGAAGTGAATGAGATCGAGGTTTGGTACCACTATTGTAAATCTAAAGATCTAAGGAGAGGAGAGACCATCAGCTGCTATGCGTTCCGCAATCGAGTTCATGACGATCATGAATGGGGTTATATATATATATATAGCTTATCCGTACTGACACCATCTTATATTTCCCAGCACGCCCTAACATCTGGGTTTGGTACGAGTCAAATCGGGTAAACTAGGCCTCACATATAACAAATGTTAACCCCGGATCAGTAAACTTTGTTTGGCAAAAGTCAGGGGGACATCTAGAGTGAAATCAGTAACTATAAAACTTGGTACCCCTCAATTAGTCAACTGGTGCTCTACTTAATCCTGCGTTGCCATTGAAATGGCGTTCAACACCAAAAATCCCAACAAAAACCATTGATTCTGATTCATTTCTCGTTATGTCCCCATCCCCATCTTGTTGATTGTGCATTCCATTGACCTTTTTGAATAGATTCTCCCATTCCCTCCAATTCTATGCCATTATATCCCATGATCTGACCAAAACATCCCATGTTCATCCTGGTTTTTCGACATTTTAGACTAGTGTGATACTGTGATATTGTATCCTATATAGAATCCATGATAGAATTATAGTAGTTTATAAATGGATTATATATCTACAATACATCATATTATTACTATATTACATCCATGATAGTCGTTTTCTTCTATGGTCATTATGGTAGTACCCTGCCATGATACCTACGCCCATTGGCCATGCAGTCCGATGACGAGCAAAGTGAGTCCTCCGGAAAATACGTGGCCCCGCGGCCTGATGCGTGGGAAAAGTGGGGGCCCAAGATACGTTCTGCTGGAGTGATACCAAGACATTGTATAAATGCAGGATATATCTACAATACTATAATATATATATAATATATATATATACACACATTGACAATATATATATATATATGAATATGCATGTATGTATATATATATATATGATCACCCCCCCCCATGATATACCTGCAACATCCTCCAATATAATCTTATGTGAAAGTCCACCAAAGAAATATTTGGAGACTCTTGGCATATATATATATATTAATGATATAGATATTAATCTACATATGTAGAATGTGTACATATACATTCTTATATTATATGTATGATATATACAGATCAACTACAATCTGATATATGATAGGTAGAAATCTAACATAGGATGTAATGTACACACATATGTATATATATATATACGATGATATATAGCACTCTACATAGCGCATGTAAATGCAATATAGCAGGTTTGGGAATGATCCAACTTCCAGTTGGTCCAGTTGATGCTTTCCTACATACTTCGACACTGAATGGATCACTAAAGAATATAACATAATAGAGTTCCCCAGATGTGCAAGTTTTCAGTGGATTCTTACCCTTGCGCTCCTAAAATGCTTGCAGTAGGACGGTTAGATACATATATATATATATGTATTATATTGTATTATAATCATCATATATACATACATACATGTATATGGGTATGACTCACCATTCTGTTTACCGCAAAATCACAGGCAAATGGATGATCACCCTGAAACATGGTTTGACAAATAAATATTTAGATATCCCTGGATACTTCCAAGTTATTATTCCCCAAAAAAAACAAACATTTTACGCAGTATGATATACATCTAATGGAATATATTGGATATAATGTAATATGTATATATATAGTATAGTATGAGATAATATGGTGTGCTCTAATACATAATATATATAGTATAATACAGTATACTATAATATGATACACCATGTTAACATGAGATATGATAACATATTGCAACCCGATCTGAAATATACAATATAAGATAAAATCATATGCACTATATATATGATTATATATATATAATATATATATATGATTATATATATATATGATTATATATATGATTATATATATATATATGATTATATATATATTATTATATATATATGATTATATATATATGATTATATATATATATATGATTATATATATATGATTATATATATATGATTATATATAATATTCCCTTCAAAACCACAGCAGATCATCTCAGGGCAGCCTGGGAGAAGAGTTCCTTCGAGAGTTCCTCGGAGAAGAGCAAGTTCCTGCGCCTCATGGGTGGAGCCAAGGACCGGAGCTGCGCTGCGGGACTTTTTCGAGATTTTGGTGTCCCGATTTTGAGTTTCAAACAGAACTCAAACTTCGACATCTTCGACTTGAGTCAGATTTTGGTTGTTTTCAAGATTTGGGGTGAGATGTTTGGCCTGATCTTGGAATTCTGTTGACATCCATTTACAAGGCACAGGGTTAAGTATGTGGTGAATTTGGGCACAATTGAACACCAAGATGCCATTTTAGCAGGCTATGGCTCATGGGTGTTGCAAGATACACCAAAATCAAAAATCAATTAACAACACCCGCTAGGAAAAGAACAGTAGAAGGATGTTTGCGGGCGGTGGCCAAACCCGCCACAAGAGGAGAAAAGTGGACTCGGAGACAAGGCATGTGACCGCCTCCCAAACCGGTTTCAAACTCCTCAAACCTTTTGGCTGCAGGGTTGTCAAAGCAGGGAGACTCCTTGAAAAGGGGTTCCTGAAAAAAGGGGAACCCCAAAACCATCCAACATTGGTAATTGGGAATGGCTTTTGGGCTTTGGGGTTTTTCAATTTTGAGCAATTTTACTTTCATATACTTCAATTTTTATGTGATTTGATTTCAGTTAATTCGACAGAGATTCAGAGGTTGCTATCCCCCTCCCTCCCTCTACCTCCCTCTCTCTCTCTCTCTTTCTCTGAAGTGTAACCATTGATTCCTCTTGCGAGTTGCTCAAGCATTTGGGGAGCATGAAAAGGTGTGCAAATATTTATATAGGAACTGCAGGATCTTTCAAGCAACCACAGTGGTTTAGAAGTAAACCCACTGAAATATATGAAATATATGGTGATGGGTCAAAACCTACACCATCATTTGAAGGGCATGTGCATCCACAAACTATTTTCATGGGACAATATTATACGATTTTTCCAAAGCGATATTCCCCAAATTTGCCCCCCCCCCCCCCGAGACGTAACTTGCAGGTTGAGAGCGCCCAAAAGGTGGGCCCCTCTTCGCAGGTGCCGGTTGCGATCGCCGGCCATTGGATACACCCAAAATTGGATTGCTCGATAGATTAATATAAATGATATATATATATATCATAATATAATATATATTATATATATAATCGCGTAATACTCATTGACTAAGATGTGGCAAGTGCTGATTTGACAGATTTCAGTAAATTATAGAATCGGATACTTGGCACTTGTGCTTGTCCATAGTAATTAAGTACTAGGATTTTCCCAAAATCCAGCAGTTTGGAACATCACCCATCAAAATGGCCATAACTTGATACCCAGGACCCAGGACAAACACAATCTGGATAATCAACTTGTTGAGTTCTTGATTCCATTATAAGTTCCTGCTGAGTGCAAGCATGATGGAAGTGTTGGTTTCGAAAACAAGAGCAATGTTGCAGTGATCTTTAGACCATCTTGGAGACCTCAGCGCAGTCATTCCCACCTTGATTCAAGCTGACAGAAAAACAAGCACTTGGGTTGAATTGTACAATTTTTTGACTACCCCGGTGTTCTTTGGATCATTTTGTTATTTCCTGCATCAACAACCCAGTGCACCAGGAACTTGAGAGGCAATATGTGCAGGGCATGCAGAAGCAGCTCTATTCTCGGCATCGCGGCTTGGGGTGAGCTGAAGTGATGGGAAAAAATGGTGCAGCCAGGGTTGGAATCCACATAAATTGAAAATGGTACTGGTTTTTATGAAGATCAAGTTGCGAAAATCAGATTTGTCTTGGTGAATTTTACATTTTCAATATTTTTTCTAGATTAATTTGCTGAACATCCCAAACAATCTCTGGACACAATGCAAAAACGCTTGTTTTATCAAGCGGTTGGAGCATCCCGGCCATACACAGCACAGGAAATAACCGTCAGGCCGTGCCAAAGATTGCCGGCTGATTCGGAATCAAATGCGTGGGCCAAGAAATCAGGGATGGTGGCTTGTGAATGGTATTTATATGCACTAGTATATATATATATATATACATATGTATGTATATCTATATATGCACATATATGTTTACATATAAAAATCCAATGTGAGATACAATGGGGTATATATCTCGGCACCTATTCCACAGATAATGGATTCAACCAACAAACACTGTATGTTGATGTACTGCATCCCTCAATTTATGGCAATCTTAAGGGGAAAATGATGATATTTTCATGATCGCCGTGGGGACGATTTTTTTTGGGTCATAAATTCAGAACCACAGATCTTGGCCGTGGCTGTGGTTCGGTGATCTAGTTGAGGGATGGGTTGCATTGCAGTGTAATTGGAGAATTTGTCGAAGTATGTTGTGTTTTGTAGCAACACCCCATACTCATTGAGAAACTTATTTCCTGTAATGTTTTGTTCAACCAGTCCACGAATATGACAAGTAATGTTGTTTTGCTTTGTGGGTTTTGAAACTTATTAAATCCTCCACAATTTGATGGAACATGTCAAGGTCGTCAGGGGCTACTGGCATGATTGCACGCAATGACAAGACGCTCCCCAGATTAGACTTATTGAGTATGTTTGGGCCCTACTGTGCATCTTCAACAGGTTTCCTTCACAATATGCGATGTGCTTCACACGTGTTCCGCAGGAGGAGAAGAAAAAGAAAAAGAAGAAGAAGAAGCGTGGAAAGCTGAGACTTCCAGGGAACCGCTACATGCGAGCTACAATCACAAGTGGAACAGTACATTTCACTAAAAGTAATTATCATATGTAATTATTTTCACATAGTTATTTGACATCAGTACATCCTTTGAATCAGCACCTCGCAATTTAGGTGCATTCAAACGAGTTGAAATGACTTTCAAGGTGACCGGCTTTGTGGTCTCAGATCTTTGGTCCAAGACCGTCCGTGATCAGCGCTGAGGTGACGGTAGTTCTTCGTCCTCGCATCAAGCTCAGATGGTTTTTGATAGGGCGCCCCCGGCTCCACACATGGCACAGCTGGGGAAATGCCAAGGTCATCTTCATCCAGAGATGTGTCCTGGCGTGTTGGCGGGGCTTGGGTGCCCCTGAGGGTCAGTTCATGAACATGTATTCCGAGATTTGTTGGTTGTCTCTTTCCAGGTTTCATTAATTTTGATCAACAATAGTTGTTTTGTATGTATATATGTATATATAAGTACTGATTGATTGTTGCATGTCGGTGTTATTACAGATAGCTATTTTGGCATTTTTCTCAAACATGGTGTAGATCGTGACGTGTAAAAGGTGGGGGGCATATACAATTCCCATATATTCCCAGTAGTTTTCGGTACTATAATTTATAATGTAACACAATAACAACATACTGGGAATATGTGGGAATAACAATATTATATTTGTTAACAGTATTTAGTTGAATAACAATATAGCAATAACACTATTATAATTCGACTAATTGCTAAAAATGACAGCATATCCATATAGATATATAAAATATCAACATAAGAATAAACATACATACATAGATCAGCGAGTGACTCAATAAATATTATAGTACATATATAAATAAATACACACACACATACTGGACACAAAAAACATGCACTTAGCCATTTCTCAAACATAGCATCCCCAGCAAAACCTCTGGCTCCTTAGGCAGCCGCGCAGTGGGCGGAGACATGGCGATCATGGCAGGGTGCGGCTGGAACCAGTCAAGCCCCTTCAGGTGGGAAATGGTGGGTTTTTTTAGGAAGATCCATAATGGAAACCCATGGAAACCCCTAGATTTCGTGGGAAAACCATCGTTTCCTATAGATTTTACCAATCCAGTGATCAGTGAGCCAATGACCGCTTCGCCACAGGCAATATGGGAATGCCCGCTTGGCCGCCTGCAGGTTGCTCGCTTTCAGTTCGATCTTCGAGCCTCTGAGTTTTGTGAGGACATGTTGACTATTTGTTGAATCCATTTGACCAGAAATCATCCACACATATTTGTGTATAAATATACGTATAGAATTGTATAGACTCGTGAATGATATGACTGTATGCTCAAGTTATTCATTGATATCTCTGCAGAAAAGAGACATGGCTTGCAAAGTGACCGGACATCGACCATGGGACGCCAAAAACATCCAAAAACTGGATCTGTAAGATGACTTTCCCATCTTATCCAGCAACTTTTTGGCATCTTAGATATTTACCAGGGCAAAGAATGTCATCCTCCGGCGCAGTGCCAAAACGCAAGGCCACATGGGCTGGGGCCAGTGGGCACCCGGAATGCCTGGATGGCCTCCAGGCGGAGACGGTGCAGGGATGGCTAGGAGATCCTACGGGTACTTTTTTTGGGGGATTTTCATGGATTTTACAAACCACTTTGGTATTTTTTGGTGGTATTTTGACATGATTTTTTTCCGATGTTTTTGGATCTTCGACCACGGATACTCCTTTTGGGGGATGTTCGACCGATGGGGAGGTACATTGAATGATGGTCCAAGGGGACAGATGACATTTGGTTCGGAATTGATTATCCCCACAATTCCCCAAAATGTAAGGGTCAATATGAAAAATGAATAAACATGGCTGATGTTGGTAGCTGAATTTTGACAGCCCAACTGACTACTCTAGGCTGGAGCTTTTTAATTACAGTAACATGAAGATTCCAAAAAAAGAGTAGCATTAGGATTTATCATGCATTAGGATCATGAGGACACACTTGAACATGTCATACAAGCCACATTTTGGTTTGCTGTTTGTGAAAGTATCCTAAGTCAATGATTATCAATAATTAGCAATAGTTATTTATAAATAATTAATTATGGATGTGTATCGAACATAACTTATTAATTGACATCATAATCTCTATTAAACAACATATTATCAACGATACTTATCCCTATAATGATACGCAATAATAATCCCCATAATTATCCCTATGATTCTCATCAACAATGATCCACAATAATCCATAATCATCCATAATTCTCAAACATAATCCATAATATCCATAAATCTTTCATAAATCATCCATAATTTTCAATGATTATCACCATTGGCTTGGCAGGCCACGAGGATCGGCCAGGAACCAGCATGGGCTCCGAGGCTGGCCATGCAGGCGGGATTTCACGGATCATTAAGTGACTTACACATGATTAAGTTGTTGTGGTTGTTGTGGTTGTTGTGGTTGTTGTGGTTGTTGTGGTTGTTGTGGTTGTTGTGGTTGTGGTTGTTGTGGTTGTTGTGGTTGTGGTTGTTGTGGTTGTGGTTGTTGTGGTTGTTGTGGTTGTTGTGGTTGTGGTTGTTGTGGTTGTTGTGGTTGTTGTGGTTCTTGTGGTTCTTGTGGTTCTTGTTGTGGTTGTTGTGGTTGTTGTGGTTGTTGTGGTTGTTGTGGTTGTGGTTGTTGTGGTGGTTGTGGTTGTTGTGGTTCTTGTTGTGGTTCTTGTTGTGGTTGTGGTTGTTGTGGTTGTGGTTGTTGTGGTTGTGGTTGTTGTGGTTGTTGTGGTTGTTGTGGTTGTTGTGGTTGTTGTGGTTCTTGTGGTTCTTGTGGTTCTTGTGGTTCTTGTGGTTCTTGTTGTGGTTCTTGTTGTGGTTCTTGTTGTGGTTCTTGTTGTGGTTGTTGTGGTTGTTGTGGTTGTGGTTGTGGTTGTTGTGGTTGTGGTTGTTGTGGTTGTGGTTGTTGTGGTTCTTGTGGTTCTTGTGGTTCTTGTGGTTCTTGTGGTTCTTGTGGTTCTTGTTGTGGTTCTTGTTGTGGTTCTTGTTGTGGTTGTTGTGGTTGTGGTTGTTGTTGTTGTTGTTATCCCAATGATCTCTGCAGTTCCCACTTGACACACCATTAAATTTCCATAGTTATAGCGGCGGCGAGTTTGATCTCAGGCTGGGCTGTTGCGGAGCGAGATGATGTTGGAAGCTCAGTGAGCTAAACTTCGGTGGAGTAGGTTTGTTGTTTATCAATATTTTGGCCTTCAATGCAAATATACGTATGTTTACATATATATATATATATATATGCACATACATATATACATATGTGTATATATACACACATATTTATATATATATATATATAGAGAGAGAGAGCGCGAGAGACTGTATAGAAAGATAGCATTAGATAGCTAGATAGATAAATACCATGAGATAGAAAGATTGATAGATGCATATAGTTCCTAAACAGCCAAACAAATGCGGCCTATCTAAGATTAGCAATGAACAGGGTTAGAATGTTTCTTGTCGGAATAAACTTCACCACCTTTGCTGAAGGCGGCCTGTACTGGTCAATGGCGTGCAAACTGGCTTGATCCAAAGCTAGATATGGGATCTCCTGTGATCCATAAAAAAAAATGTTCGGGTAGTTCAAGTCTAATTATGATTGAAAATCACCGAAAGTCTTCCAACAGAGAACTGCTTGCCCAGGGAAATTTTGAACAACCGTCAGTTCCAAACTAGAAAAGGGGCATCATATGTCCAATAATGCGCTGTTCAAAGTCGCATGTTTTGGCCAGTCTCATATTTGGCATCCAAAAATACAACATCCCTTCAAAGAAACACATGACATTTGGGGTTCAGAGTTTCACAGATTACAAACACATCTGTGTATAGTTCTGTCAATATACGATATACATACATACATATATATATGTATATATATATATATATGTATATATATATATAGTATGTATGTATATATATATATAGTATGTATGTGTATATATATATATAATGTATATATATATATGTAGTTATATATATAGAGAGAGATATGTTATCACATATATGATGCATATGTGGATATATACCTGTGTTTTACATATGTGTATTATCATGACCACATTTTGCCATTGCAATTGGCCAATGGCTTGGAAGTTGGAACTTTTGACTCAGCCCATCCGGTCATTGGTCAAGCATTGTTTGATATTGCCATCCGGACACCCAAGTTTTCAGCAGAATTTTGAAATCTGGGGATGACTCCAAAAGCTATGAACTATGACATATCTTTTATTGGACTCAAGCATTTACCAGCTCTTTTGCTTAGAGGGTGCCAGGGTCATTTTATAAATGACCGCCATCAGGAGGACAAAATGCCTGAGGAGCCGAGGGCGAAACCAATGAGAAAAAACACACCTGGTGGATCCTGGTGGCAGTGATTTTGACTCTATGCTTCCAACATTTAGCTTTCTAGGAGATGGATTTAGGGTTTCACAGTGGGTCTTATAGGGTTGAAGTTTTTAGGCTAAAATTCATTGGCACTACACAGTGCTTTGACCATGTCAAAGGATATGCGGCATCTGTGGGGGCGCAAACGTCTGCAGCAGAACGATTCTAGAAGAACAAATTTCCATGGGAAATGGGAATGTGATGGTTGCTGATTGAAGATTCAAACAAGTCCAATGTGAAGTGGATTTACCTCGAGGATGACTAGAATCCCAGCCTTCGCCATCTTGGCCACCTTTTTCGAAAGTGACATAAGCTCTTCCATCTCGCTGGCTGTTGCAGCTCAACTTCCATTTCTTTTAGTAAGTTCCCGCCATTTTCGATGGCCCCCTATGGTCAGCAACCTCTACAGTCGGGAAACAGCTGTGTAACGGCGCGGTTTCGAGGACGCGCCCATCTTTTTGGAAGCCTCCGTGGAGGACGGAGCAGCTTTGCTTCAGCGTTGGGCTTGGGCGGGTTTTTTTGGATGCTCCAGGACGAGGTGCCGGTACCAAAGGCTCTACTGGGAAAGGCACAGTGGGGTGATGGCAACTTGGGGCCTGCATGTGGATGTTGATGTTCCAAGTCAAATTTGCACGGGATTGAGCTCAGTTGATTCTCACTTTGAGGCACATCATCCAAGTTTGAGAAATGGTAAATTCGCAGTGATAATTGAACATACAGGTTGTCCCACCCTTGAATATTGCTGCTACGGACCCTGACTGCAGAGATACGATGCTGGCTTTTAGCATCTCAAGAAGTTTCATCACCACTGGGCCCACAACAGTAGCCCTCCAGCCTCCAGCCATCAATCTAGATGTTGGGGCGAATATTTTTCTTGTGCAGATTTTGAGAAGGCATTGTGACCAGCCACAATCTATTCATCAAAGACTCTCTTTCTCTCTATTTGTATGACATCCATCTATATGTCCCTGCATTATCCTACATTTATAGATCCATGATCCATACACAAAACACATACACATTCACACATGCATACACTTACAGGCAGACATATCCAGACTAGATATCCGTATGTATACATTATATACAAATACACATACATATGTTCTTATCCCTGTGTATATATTTGACATATATCTATACATACATGCATGCATACATACATAGATAGACTGCATTTGTTGTGATTATATGATAGATATGTCATATACATACACACATACATACATGCATATATATATTATATATATAAGAGCAGGGCATGGTAACTGGGACCTTACTCACCTGGAATCAGGTCCTTGTTTCTTGGGTGCTCCAGCACTCTTTTCTGTCGCAGGTTCAGCTCCAGTTTTGTGCCCATGGCACTTGCTTGCATCAAGCTGGTGCATCCATGTCATGGCTACTTTTTGAGGAAAATGTTACGTGTTAAACATATCACATGATATCACATGAAAATATCTTGAGGGACTTACACCAGACATGTTTCCCCAATATATCAAGCATTGATTGAACATGCCCAAAAGATTGCCAACATAAACATAATACCTATCCCATGAACATTATTTAGTTGTTTGGGCACTTTCTCACATCAAAGCGACTGTGATTGCTCCTTCCAGTTAGGTCAGACATACTGAGAACCATAGATCTTAGGGTGCCAGCAGTGAACAGATTTTTGCAGTTAACCATCATGGATCATATGTGACTATAGTAAGTTCCACTTCACTTCTGGCACTGCCGCAGCAATGGCGCTGGCAGAAGAGACTGCTGCGCAACGCTGACACTCAGCTCAAGTCAATGTAGAAAGCCTCAAATGCACCAGGGGTGGCAAAGCTGGAATTTGCAGTACTTGGGACACATTCTCATTGTTCAAATTCAAAGAGTTGCAGGTGAGCAAATGTGAGCAGTAATGGGCACCTTTTTTTCAAGCCTGAAAGCGCGCAAATCACGCACGGAAATGTTCACATCCCCTAGCTGTAGCGACCAGCACAACAGAAATTTGGGCTGTTGAACTGCTGCTGAACCCATTTAAAGTGTAGTCGTTCAGCGACTGCTTCATCCCTAGGACGAATTGAACTTGTTCAGCCACTTCTTGACCACAGTGCTGTTGCGCGGACCATTTTTGAGGATCCACCTGAGAATGAGGGGCACCAAAGAACATTGACAGGAAATATAAGATAAAAGGATGAAACATGATGAAACAAGACATGAAAACACAGTGGCAGCACTGGCAGCACCTATGTCAACATGATTTATGTGCCTATGCTACAATAAGACCAGGTACTCTTTGCGAGCTGCTTGGGCATACTCCCAAGCATCTGCTGCCGACTTTCCTTCTGCCTTTGCTGCTTTCTGCGCTGCTGAATATACCTTGGCAGGATGCAGTGAAAAACTGGAAAGTAAGGTGTAAATCAAAGACATGGTGTGGGATCTGGAGGAACCTAAACAGCAGGTGAGGCACACAGTGGATCTTCTTTGCAAGTTCTTCTTCATGCTCTTCCGACTCTTGCTCTTCTTTCTTGGTTTTCTTTGAGCCCGCTGCTTCACCTTTCCCTTTCTTGGTCATCTGTTCACCTTTGGCATGCTCTTTCTTCACAGTAGCCTTTGCCTTTGCTGCCTTTGTCTTTCCTGCCTTTGCCTTTGCTGCTGAGACTTTCTTTGCATGCCGATCCTGTTTTGGTTTCGGTGCAGCGTTCTTTGGGCCATCCTTTGCATTTCTCACTTTCTCTTCTGTGTGCTCCCCAGGGGCATTGTCAGAAGTCTCTTTGTTTTGATTTTTGTCTTCCTGTTCTTTCAAACTTTCAGCTTCTTTCATGTCGGTCGCATTGTCCTCTTTGATCTCCAGCACCATGCCATCTGCAGGGGGCTGGGTGTCTTTGGCGTCCTCCTTGTTGATCTCAAGTGGCACATCACCTGCAGGGAGCTTGGTGTCTTTGGTGTCCTGCTCTTTGATCTTATTGTCCACCTGAGTGTCACGTGCAGGGACATTGTCAATCTCCTTGTCAGCTCCTTGGTGGGCACTTCCTTTTGCTTGCCTTCTCTTTCCCCAAATTTGTTCATCCATCATCTTCTCAAGGGCAGCTCTTGCCTCCTTTTCTTTTTTCTTCATGTGTGCATTTTCAAGCACTTTCAGGGGTACTTGGAATCCAGGTCGAACAGAAAGAGCGAGGTTCTTTTCCATCATGATCCGATCATTGTCAGAAACTCCCACCTGCAAGCAAGGTATGAAACAGCACCAAACACACAGATAGTGCAAATACAATAGTTCAATGGAAAATTGACAGTATGTTTTGACAGTATGTTTTGCCAGTCCTTGGGCGTCTCGATGTCACTTCGGCATGGGGTAGCCACCGGTGTGTGAGCAGGTGTAGACAGCACAGGTTCAGGCTTCTTCGGCTCAGGGATGTTCTCAGCTTGGTCCTGGGATTGGGATTCGGCACAGATGGGTGCAAGGCTTAAGCTGAAAAGTGAAAGAACAAAAGTTACAGGCACAGTTGTTGGCTCACCTTCAAAAACAAAGTTTACTGTTTGTAAATTATAAGAGTCCTGCTCGCTGGTGTTGTCATGGCAGTCATCCAGGCGCAGGGTCTTCTGGGAGTCCACGTCATCCTGCAAACTGCACTGAAAAAATTGCGCTCGAATCAAAATTTGACAAAACAACCCAGTATTACCCAGTCCTCTTTTTTTTCCAAAGCTGTGGTGTCAGCCTTGCCAGTCTCTGCAATCGCTGCGATGTCTCTCAGGGATATGCCATTGAGCGCCTTGTCAAACCGGCTGCTGTCCTCACCACCTTCATTCTCCTGACCATCAGTATGTTTCTTGCCCTTGCCTCTGGTTTTCTTCTCCTTCTCCTTACCCTTTGGTTCCTTGGCAGGCTTCTTCTGTCGTGGTTTCTTGGCTGCTGGTTTCTTGGAAAGTGTGGTTGGGCCATCATCACCATCAGCCCCATCGTTGTCAGGTTCGTCATCATCAAGCCCCTTGAAGTGTTCATCAGCAGAGTCATCATCAGTTTGTTTCTTTCGCTTCTTCTCATTATCTTCATCCTTAGTCTTCGCTTCTTTGTCCTTCTTCGACTTGCTCTTGTCTTTTTCTGCCTTTTTGTCTTTCTCTGCCTTTTTGTCTTTTTCTGCCTTTTTGTCTTTTTTGCTCTTTTGATCTTCGTCACCCTTTGGTGAGTCTGAGGAACTGTTCAAGGCTACACGTCCAAAAGATGGGACAGATGAACGTCCACCCTGTGTCGGCATGGGACCTGGGCAACGGAAACACAAATATGGTTCAACTAGGGAAAGGTTTTCAATTAGCAAATTATCAACACACTTTTCAAACATCAGGCCATCTCAGTATAGGAGCCAAGGAAAAGGGGAACTGAAACATCAAGGAAAAACAGCCAAGCCACTTGACGAGGCTGCTTGGCCACCTTGACCTTGACCATCTGGTGCACCAGATTGACTCAGCAAGTCTGTGTAGTCTGCCACACTGAACTTCCTTGATATTTGCATGTTGCCAGCACCACCAACTGGACCTTCATCTTCTGATGACGATGACACTTGAGTCGCCATGTGACAAAGGATCCGGCGAGATCCAGGGCACTAGAAAATTACTGCACCCCTTTTGAACTCAAATGTAAATTCAAGGAATTGTGAACAACTTGCGACTTCAATGATTTCATGATTGATTGGCCTGTTGGCAATTATGCAACTATGCTTAATGGCTTACCGCTGATTTTTTTCAACTCACCAACCTAGGATTGGTGTTCAAAATGACCCATATTGTGCCTGCCATCGGACTGGCATGGCACTGACATTCAGCCAGTAAGAGCCAGCAGGGGCAAGCAACCCAGACCCACCATTTGGTAGGCATTGTGTGCCATAGCCCTTTTGGAAGAAACAGGGTCACTGGAGATTTTGTTTTCAAATTTGTTTTTACTTAGTTGGCCAAGATTGGAATCATCATATCGAAGATCACCACGCAAATTCCATTAGGCTATACATGGCACCACCCCTGTCTTGTGAAACTTGATCACATCAGTCGGTACATCTTGTCAGCTTCCATTGCCATGCTCCCAGGAAGGATCATCACTGGGCGGATGGGAGCCAGCTCCTTGCTATTCTCGCCGTTCGACTGCAACCTCATTGGGAATCATGCTGCGTCAGGGGTATGATAAGTCACAACCCAGAGGGTAGGTTCCCTTGCTGGGTGACTTGGTGATTTCTGTTCCCCACAAACTTGAAGTATTGTTGGATAGCTGGGTGGATGGTTCTATTTCCCAACTATTTCTGAACATTTATTTGGATTTTACATGTCAATGTGATATCACCCGGAAGACTTTTAGTTTTGGGTAACTGGAGGATCCTCTTTGGGTATTCCTGGTGTAATTTACAGCACCCATCATTTGTTAAGTATTGGATGGGGTGATCAGTTAAGTATAGGGAGATTTGAAAAAAGTCCAGTGTAACAAGTGGCTTTACGCGCCAGCAGATTTTCAAATTCGAAGCGCTGCGAAGCTTGGCCATGTTGAGGCGAGCTCCAAATGTAGGTGCCGCGCCCACCTTCAGGGATGTAGGACAAAGTGTTTATGGTATCTGGATTGAAACTTGGAAGGTGTGGGAATGTCCCATGTACAAATCAATTCGAAAATTGTTTTTGGATGTTTTTGGCAAATGCAGCCTTCTTCTGCATCGTTTTCTCTTTGGGTGCGTCCAAGACAAAACAACAAGGCTTGTTGCTTGACAGCGTTGCACCATCACTGGTATGCAGTGCAAGCGTGATACCAATCTCACCAGCATTCTCCATCGATCGGAGGAAGTCACTGATCTTGATCACCTGCCATGGGCTCATTCCAAACATGCAGATATGGTTGATTTGATGTTGATTTGAATTGGTATTTCTGCTGTTTGTTTGAAGGGGATTGATATTTCCTTGATTGGTGGAAGAAATCCTGCCACTTCAAAATTGGAACTTGTATGGAATGGGACATGCCCCCAAAAATGGCCTTGTTGAAGACACTCAAGGACTTGATGTGATCACCAAGCCTTCTGTCAGCCTCTGCAATCACAAACTCATCAGTGGAGGCAATCTGATAAGAAACCCAGCGCCCTGACTTGCTCGTGTCATTCATGATGTCCTTCGCTTCCTGATCGAGTCAGTAACACCAGGGAAAGCCACATGAAATAATTTGATAGAGCCTGTCAAGTAGTGGGGGATTGCTACTCAGTATATTTTTGATGTGATTTCCCACCCAATTGATCTTGGTCCATGATTAACGCAATATCCATCGAACAAGATAAACACTTGTGATTTTTGATCTCCTTGTACTTGGTTTAAAGTTTCAATTATCATATTCCTCCCATTAGTTCTGGTGGTGGATAAAAGATATAAAATATTGTAGATGATGTAATATCAAAAAGTCAAAATGTGTGGTTTGCTATCCAAGACTATCCAAGTTTCTGTGCTCATGGCGAAGTCACCCGATCCAAATCCGAAGAGTTCGGTCAAACCAGGGATTTCCACTTGCACCCCAGTTTTCTCCGGGCCAACCCATAGGGTATCCTCCTTCTTGTCCAGCACCAGCTTGAAGGTGCCACAAGGCAAAGTGACCCTGAATATGGGGACCCATAGGTTTAGAAAATTGCACAGAATGAGATTTCCAAAAGAAATTGATGTAAATGTGGGGTGACATGATTGAAATGAGATACTAAGTTGTGCTGGGGAGCTTGTCTTCCAGCAGTGACTCATCAGAGAGATTCATAGCCTTTTCAATGCAGAGCCGTTTCCTTTCAGGCTCCTCCCGTGCCTCATTCTCAGCATTGCTCGGCTCCCCCCTCTTCACACCACGAGGATTGAAGCGATTGTTGTGATCTCGAATCAGCTGTTCCTGGCAGTAGCAACTCTGCAGTATCTCGAATCGGCAGGATTGTGGGGAGATGTGGGGAGTGTATAATGTAGTATAGCATGGAAGCAAATACCAAAGATCCAAACATCACAGAGTAGAAGCCAGGGCAACATGACAGGGATCCAAATAGACATAGTTCTGCATTTACTGTAACATGGCGATGATGGTGATGATGATAATGATTATAATGATGTTGTTGATGGTGGTGGTATGTGGTGGTGGTGGTGGTGGTGGTGATGATACTGAAAATGATAATGATGATAATAATGATGTCGATGATGATGGCGATGATAACTATGATTATGATTTAGACAATGACTTTGACTATGACTATGACTATATAATGATGATGATGATGATGATGATGAAGAAGGACACAATCAAGATCATGGTGATGATGATGATGATGATTATGATGATTATGATTATACAAAAGAAATCATGATCAATTCTGCCAAGGCACTGCTTCGTCTTTGAACCCCTCATTCTTGATCGTCCAAAGGTCGATCAAAGCTGATTTGATCACCAAGCCCCCATCAGGTAACGGAGTGCAGATCGAATATTCTGGCTTGGCTGTTGTCACAGAAGACTTCCGCAACTCAGTCAGCACTGCCTTGAAGTTGGGAAAGCCTGGGATTTTCAGCGTTCCTCAGGATTTGTTGCTGGCTAATTTCACAAAGGGTCATGCACTGTAACTGCAGTGATCTCCTTCTTCATAGATTAGGGGTTGTGAAATTCCCTTTATGTTCGGGGTGTTTCAAACCTTTGGGAAGAAATAAACAAAAACAGGATTCCTTCTCGACCCAGGGAAAAGATCTTGTTGCTGGTGATTTCAGCCACGAACGAGGTTTCGTGAAGGCAATGGCACACAGTCCCTGTAGCCCACTTGTTCCCCTTGCAGAGCTCATTCAGGGCGAATGCTGCCGTCCACCCATCAAACCCCAAGAGGTCCACCACAATGTTGTAGTTGTCCGAAGGATCGGTGAGGGAACCAATGATCTTTTCCACAACGCTGATCCCGGCCATGTGCTGAGAGGGTTGAACACTAGATTTTATCTAATATTGTTGGCTACAACATTCTATTACCCAGGAATGCAAAGTTTCTTGAACCCTTACCTGAATGTTTTTATACCAACCACCCCTCATATGGCTGAATTATGCTGAATTGCTTTATCGGATGGTCACCTTTTACTCAGAACTTGTGCCCACCTAATTCATGACTCCAATCCAAAAAAACAATGAAGCCAAGTTAAGCCAAGGATGGAACGCATCACAGTTGAAAGTTGGTCATGGGGATATATTTGGAACATTGTGGAACAATCTATCATTAATTAATTTGTTGTGAACCTGACTCATTTATTCAATAATATAATATAATTTAGTGGTGCAAATTTGTGGGGCCATTTTGAACACCAGCCTGCTTGAGCTCCTGGACTCTCGTGAGACGGGCTTCTGAGGCGAAGCCTTTGCTGCATCGCTCCACCTTCAGCATGTCTGCTCTCGGAAGCATGGCTGCACCCTGAACAACCCCAGTCTTCCAAGCTTTGCTCTTCAAGAAGACGTTGTTCTTGTCGTTGGATGTCACCAGCAAACACTGATGGACCCCAGCACGGTTTCCATACACTGTGTTCTCATCAAAGACCATGCTGCAGTTGCGCACCTTCAGTCACAGTTATGAGACATGAGACTGTGCGATTTATATAATAAACATTACTCATCTTAGATACCCCGCATAAATATCTTTGATGGCTATTAGATATTTCCATTAACACCAAAAGACTAAAGGATTAAAGTATCATAAAGTATCCATGTGAGCTTGACCAAGTAAAATCGATGAATAATATGCTAACCTGATAATAGTTCTTTGATGTTGGAAGCCACTCTGCACAAGATGTTGTCTTGCTACGCTATGATTTTTAACAAGTTTCATGGCTTAATTTCAACATTAAGGATGATAAGGATTGGAATCCCAGAGTTGAAAAATACATGCTTGGAAACAATGGGTATGAACACACCATTCATTTTTTTAGTAACCCAGGTACACGCAGAGCTCTCTCAGATTCCAAGAAGTAGCTTTTGAGCTTGTACACAAACTCATGCAGCACTAACTCAGCCGAATCCTGTTTTTTGTCATCCTCGTCATCCTCATCCTCGACTGTTACCATGTGAGCGTCCATCGATCCTCCAGGGTTAGTTTGTGATCCCCCATGGAAGATTAACCAAACAACATGTCCCAACTGGCAACTGCTTGATATTTTCTTTGTTGGTTCGTGAAGCTGTCCTAACTCTTTGACCTCAAAGTCATTGTCATCGTCTTCCTCCTGCTTTTCTTGCCTAAGGAATAGTGTTGCCCCCCCCTGTTGAGCAAAGTTGGCAGCTGTGACACCACTAGAGACAAGAAGCAAAGTCACACAAAAACAAAATAACCAAAGAAAACATAAATACATCAAGGAACTTGGTCGGAAGTCTGAGGTCACCCGATCGGTTGGGAAGCACCACCACTGCCACGAACTGACGTGGATTGCTGTGAGCCATGGACGTGATGGTGTTCACAGCGAACTCCGTTTTCCCAGCTGAAAGCACCCCCGCAGTCACGCAATTGCACCATGCGATGATCCGCTCTGACTCTGATCTTCGCACCCCACTTGCGCAGTTCATCAGAGTGCTTTGAACCCATGGAACCACCTTTGCTGAAATAGCACTGATGGTCTTCTCTCTTTCCCCATCTGCAACAGGGACATTCTCAGGGATGATATTTTCTGAATTTCACCCAGCAAACCTAGGTTTAGACAAAACATAAATTGTTGGAGTGAAGATGTCACCATTTTCCTACAAAGTGTCACCATTTTCAAAACATAAATTGATCACCATTTTCCTTACCCAGGCCTTGTGCCTTCTTTGGGGCAGCATTCCACGTAGGAAGATTTTCACTGGCAAAAGTCTGGACCAGGGACCACGCTGTGGTGTGCATTTTCTGTCAGGGTCACAGGCTTTTAACCATCCAACAACCAAAACTCACAGCAACCAATCACATATTTGTTATTACCCAACCTGCCTCTAAAGAACCCAGAACTGCACTGCGGGCTTTTGCCTCATCTGTCTTTGAAGCTGCCAAGTGCCGTTCATGAAGTACTTGGTCGTTGCCCAGCGAAGTCCGGAAGAGGTTGAATCCAGCTTGTAGGGAGCTTTTCCGCGCGTTGGCAACAGCATTTTGTGCCTCCAAAATGTGCCCCTCTTGAACTGTTCCTGTGGCCTCTGCAAAAAACGCCAACTTGTTGATGTCAAAGGAGGGATCGTTGCCCTTCACGTGTGCCCGCAATTCAGAGTCCAGGGCCCTTAGTCGATTGAACTCAGGATTTGGTTTTGGCAGCACATGGCAGCACTGATGGTGCATGGTATCACTGGATGTGACGAATGAGCAGGATGGACTTTGGAAGCACTGATGGCACTTGGAATGTTTTTGGGATTGTACCCCCAGCAGCACTAATGCCAAGTTGGAGTTGATCGAAAAAAATTGCCCAATCAGTGGAGCATCATATGATATCATAATATATTATGTTTCATCCTATGATATGATAATAGTATATTGTATTTTTATTGTTGGTATATGTTGTAAATATTATGAGTCATCATATGATATCATAATATATTATATTGTGTTTTTATTGTTGATATATGTTGTAAATATTTTGAGTCACCATATGATATCATAATATATGATAAATTTATATTGTTTTTATTGTTGGTACATGTTGTAAAAATGAAATACACTGCATGAATATGAGAAGCACACAGGAGTTCCCAAGACCGACTGTTACAATCTTTCAAGAATGTCAGTTTGGTTCTGCAATTCGTTTGAACACAGATTTGACACTGGACATTCTTGACTTTTTTGTGACGCATGCACCAACAAAGATGTTGCTGTGCTAATTTTCCACTTGGGTTGGTCCACCCCGAAAAAGCCCCCCACAAGTCCCAAAATCGTTCATGAAATTCAGGGAAAACACTTTTTTGGGGGGACTTGTGGGGGGCTTTTTTGGTGAACCAACCCAAGTGGAGATTTGCCATGTTGCCGGGTCCATGATGTTTATCGACTGCACCCCAAATGTTCCCAAATAAGAAGCTGGCCCACTTGGAGGTTGACCTTCAGAAAAGATTAACAGCTTGGCATGCAGTACCATGGGGGAGTCAACATCCTGTAAATCTTGCCATTGGAATTTGTATGGCAATGTGTTTAATGAATGAACCTACACAGAACCATTCACAAGTTAAGCACTGACAGGAGCAACACTATGTTACCCCAAAAGGGTTTTTAGTCAAATAGCCCAATGCACCAAAGTTGTTTGCCCAAACGTCACGATATGTTGAAATATCCAAAGATAGGTTGGGGATGCTTGGGGTATAATGAGGAAAGAAATGAATGCCCCACACATCATTTTTTCAATTAAAAAAAGGAGTCTTGGGGCATCCATGGGCACATGTATTCTGGGTCAGCCCCATATTTATTTTGGGATACATTCACCTCATTATTCCTCCATGATGATATCCAATGAGATCACAGGTCAATACAAGCAGCATACAATCAGCAAATGATGTGTAGCCTGTTCTTCTGATTTTTGGTGGTTTGGGAGATGTTTTTTGGGGTGGCCCAAGGAACACAGTTGCTATCATTTAGCATTCGAATCCCCAGTTGAAATGGTTTATCCCCCTTGTTTGTCTTGGTGTTTGGCAATGTGCTCGCAGTAGCTGCAGTCCTTGGAGAATTTTGTTGTTTTTGTTCATGTTCCTCTTCTTTAGTTCTTAGGCCTACAGCTACTAGAGCTTTTAGTCTATGTACAGTTTCCAGCCTGCAACTTCTACAGCTTTGTAGCCTACAGTTTCAAACCTTCCTCTTTATCTTTACAGCTTCTAGCCTACAGTTTTTCAGCCATACTCCTCGAGTGTTGCGGTTTTTTTCAGCCATACTCCTCGAGTGTTGCGGTTTTTCTCCGCTCCTTGAATCGAGTGTTGCGGTTTTTTTTGCCTTACTCCTCAAGTGTTGCGGTTTTTTTTTGCCCTACTCCTCAAGTGTTGCGGTTTTTTTTTGCCTTACTCCTCAAGTGTTGCGGTTTTTTTTCCCTACTCCTCAAGTGTTGCGGTTTTTTTTTGCCTTACTCCTCAAGTGTTGCGTTTTTTTTTTCTCCCTACTCCTCAAGTGTTGCGGTTTTTTTTCCCTACTCCTCAAGTGTTGCGTTTTTTTTTTTGCCCTACTCCCCAAGTGCTGCAGTTTCTTTCAGTCAGCCCTACTGCTCAAGTGCTGCAGTTTTCCTCAAATGTTGCACTTGATTCTGCCCCAGTTCTAAAGTATTGCACTTTGTCTGGTTCCTAGTCGCTGCAGTGGCTTGCAGCTGGCAGGATTTCTTTCTGACATTTTCTGACTGTTTTTTTGGCCTTATGAGTAAAAATAGAAAAAACACTACATTTTGGGATATGCTATGTTATGGTTCCAGAGTAGCGCGGTTTTCAAATTCCACAGTACAAACTATATGGTTTCGGAGGTGAGGGAAATTCAAAGTCCTTTATGTTGGGGTATCCAATTATGTTGATTTTTTTTTTATAAAGCAAAAGTAGTGCGGAATTTGAAAACCACACTACTCTGACACCTCAACATCACACATGCTGGAATGTTGCGTTTTTTTGTGATTCACTCACCCACATTGCACCATCCAAGGCACCCAAGCTCCCATGTCTCCATGATCTTGGACAAGACCTCGGAGCCTGCTCCAAGCTGCACCTCCATTTTGGGCACCAGCCATGTCATGAAGCAGGCCAGGCTGAACAAATCTTGAAGCCCAGCTGAGTCTCGCTGAGCCATCTTCTGGCCAGGGATTTGGCAAAACAAAAAGATGATATTTCAAGATGGTAACATCAGTTTAACATAGTTTAAAAAACTACAGATACCCAAAATAGTGATTTCAATCTCAGAGCCTTCTGCTTTGAGCTCGAATTCTTTGGAGCCTTTCGGTTGTAGTCAGATTGCACTCGATGAGCCCAATTCAAGACAGCTGCATCAGTAGCTTCCTGTTGCATCAAGGGGAACAAAACCACAAGATTCTGAACAGTTAGAAACTGTACTTAGGTTTACTTATTATTATTTTAAAATATAACATATTCACCAGCACCTAGCCTGGGCTTCTTTCCAAATACCCTCTGCACCATCTGGCTTGCTCCCGGGGACGTAATAGTCACCGTCCATGTTTTCGATGCACATAGCTGACAGGGAGATGCAGGGAATATTCAACATGTTGGTTTTCACACAGACATGACATGACATTACATTACATACCATGACATGACATGTTTTTACAACATCAGACCTGCCAGCTCTGGCTTGGTGGACTCATACATGCTGCTAATGATGTCCAAGAGTTCTGGCGGACACCTCATGAGGTTGTATGTCAACCTGCGAAGATCATCCTTGACTCGCCAGTTCTCAGGGTTCGTTCCAAACACGTTGAAGAATCATTCAAAGGGACTTGAATTCTTCCCCAATAGAAAAACTAAGGGAATTGATGGGAACTGTTTTGAAAACATCATGGGATGTTTCAACAACAAGTCCTTGTTGACTGTCTTGTTGTACTCTGCAACTGCATTCCACACACAGTCTCGCAGGCTCAAGTGCGGAGAAGATTGCCGCTTGATTCGAGCAGCTTCTCGGAAGATAAGCACAAAGTCCAAGCAGGAAGGCTTTGTCTTTTCCGCTCTGCGGTTTGCAAGACCTAAGCTGTGAAGAATGATCTGTTCACTTTGATCCAAGTAAATTCGAATACATGATTTGGAATGTCAGTTTTTCAACCCCAGTTGGTTCTAGGTTTTGGACTCAGGGATTCATAGATGTAAAGCTCAGCATGGGAATGTTTCTTGAAATTGCATCTGATGTATCTGAAGCTCGCCAGCACTGAAGCAAAGTGATGGTCTTCCTCAATCTCCTCGGGTTTGATGTCCTTAGAGCACAGGGCCCCAAAAAAGGAACAAAACAAACAAAAAGGTTGCCAGTGAAAAGGTGTCTTCTTCACACCCTTGATCTTAAAGAGTTGCAAGTTTGTTTACCAGGAATGGGGGGTTCATTCTTTCATCCAAGTTTCGCAGCTCTCCACCAGGGCTAAGATGGACTGGATGATCAACATCTTGTTTTGGCCATCCACAAACTGCACACTGAACGGTTCGATCGTGGTTCCCTGCTCAGGAAATCGCACATCAATTGGCTCGCGACTTGACTCGTAACCATTGCGCAGGAAGCTGCCAAAGTGTGCTTTGAACTGCAAGTTCGTTGGGAACCTACCCTTTTCCCCATACTTCGACTGCTCTGAAAAATCAAAGCTCCATGGGGACAGATAGAACTCCTTGGAGGCTACCGGCACAGATTGCAGCACAGGCTGCACATGATTCTCCACCAGCTTGCTGACAGACTTCACGTTGAAGATGCCAGACATTGCCTAGGATAGATTCAAAAACGACTTTGATTGATAAATTGAAAGCAAGTTCAAAACGATTTCAAGTCAAATCTTCATCCAAGATACCATGATGAAGACTTTTTGGCCTTCTTCACTACCAAGCTCTGACCAAAGCCAGCGGCCCATGTTCTGATTCGCACAGATCTGGCCAAGAATGAGAGACTCAAGTGTTATGATGCTGGTTTTACATGGTTTTATTATGTTCGATTGTGATACTAGCCTTGTGAGAATCACCAAGTGTTGTGATCCCGAGCCTCTTCCATTTTTGAAGTCAGCTTCTCGGCAATGGTCAAGGATTTGTCACTCCTTGCTGGGCTGGCCTCATCTGCCTCAGTTGCTTGGCCGATGAAGATGGCATTAATGGTAAGGGTAGCTGCGTTTTATGTCTCAAGACAAACTGATGGACAAGGTACAGAAGGTTCTTGCTTGACTGCATCCATTGCATGAAGCATCGATGCCACAACGGTGGCAGGAAACTGCCGTTCGACTGCTTTGGAAAACCGCTGCATTCACTCAACATGAAAACGACAAAATGATGTGGGTTTGAAACACTTTGATTTGGTCAGCACTGCATGCATTTGGTTGAATCAGTGAATCAAAACTGACTGAAAATGTTTTCACCGATTTGTTGAGATCTAACATCTGTGAAACCTAACTCTCATCGTGTGCCACACGTGTGGTTCTGGGTTTCCCAGTACCAACCCCCCACGTTGCACACCAAAATCGCTATTCTCTATAAAACTAAGCTGGGGCGGTGGAGTTCTTTGTACTGCACGCTCCCCAGCCAACTGAAGGAGATAGGCCACCCCACGCCCATATTGAGAATAATTGTCATTGAGGAATTCTGCAATCTCTTTGAGTACTTCCTTCCGCTCGTCGTCAAGATTGCAAGCCATGCCTCAAGAGAAGCTTGGCTCATTTGGATGGTTGAAAAGGCCACCACAGAATTTCATGTGGGGACATCAAACCATTCAGAATTTAGAATGGGTAAAACATTACTTCTTGGAATTTGACATGAAAATTTGAGACAAGAAACTATTCACCTCATTTCTGGCAAGTGCAGTCAGTGTTTGAAAGCTGTCCCCTGCACGACATCCAGGCCATACCAGTAAGGGTTCTTGACAAAGCTCTCGATCACTCACAAATCCCTTAATCAAGAGAAACACATCAGCAGGGGAATCAGCATACCGACGTGGCAAAGCATTGCTTGCAGAATCCACCAATTGCCGAGGCAAGCCTTAGATAAAGGTAGGCTGTCCCTGTATCTCCATGTTTTATGCATACTGACATAAGATGCAATAAGATGCAATCTAGAAACAATCCCTTCTCACAAATGTGAAGGAGTGAGGAACTTCTTTCTGATCTTTGGCTCGTTTCTTGTATGCCCCAAAAGTTGTGGTGTAGTTTTCCAGATTGCCTGACCAGTCTCGGACGGCAGTGACATAGCTGGCACGAAAGAACATGCCCTTGTTTTCGAAATGCTTCGTCAGCTTGTTGTTCAGAAACCTGAAGCAGTGTAGTGTTTCGACTTTTGTCTGAATTATTGCATGCTCACATCTTGTAACTAGTGCATGACAGCTTCACAGTGTGCAGCCATGTTGCGACACTATATCTTGTGGACATTGCCTCAGGAGTCAAGAGAGTCAAAGTTGCTTGGCTGATGGGACGTTCAGGGTGGTAAGCACTCAGTGCATGACACATCTTCGTCTCCTTCTTTGATAAGTCGGGATATCAGTCCAAATAGAGCATCTTAGATTCCAGGCAGAACATTGGTGAACATGGGACATTTTCAAACTATCATTTGTTGCCAAGATAAACTAATGCAAAAAGGGCACCCACGTCCTCGTGCGTATGTCCGACAACAAGATGTTCGTGGGAAGTGATATCGAAGATTTGGCATGTGGTCAGGTAGCTGCAAAATCGGTCGAACAGCGAGTTTTTAATTTCCTCCAGGAATGCTTGGGCTATGGGCTATGGATGAATATCTTGAAAGACATGTTAAAACAAAGGTGCTGTCACTATGGGTAAACAGAAAAACATATTTTGGTGATTTCAAAATTCCAGGGCAGCCTGTATTATACTTGGCGACAAATTTGAAAACAGGGTTGCACAATCTACAGTCAGTTTATGGTTAAATCATTTTAAATCATCTTTCTAAAACCAGTCTTGAAGGCAATGTGTGGACAGACCTGACTTGAGCAAAAAATTGTTTTCAGACCTCAAGGTGTCCTTCGGAGTATTATCCGAAAATAGCTTGCACACTCTCGGCCATTGCAAGCCTTGTTTTTGGGACAATTCCCAGGCTGTTTGGAGACTTCGGGAGAACACTTCGATAGACCAATCAGATCCAAATGACATATTGGGGTCGGCCACATAGATGAAGATGGCACGTCCGTGAACGATACACGCAGTGACTTCACATTCTGGTCTCACTTTTTGCTCCAATGCTTTTGGTACGATTCCGCCAGCATATCTTGGGAGACGGAATTTGCTCTTGTCCATGGAGTCTTGAATGGCAACCAAAAGGTCTTGCCTATGTGCTGCTCTGTGCCGCATTTCCCAGTATGCTTTGCGATCTGCAAAAGTACCAGCCAAATGCCGGAGGTATGCATCAGCTGCACGTGCATGGTCTTGTAGGCTGGTCGATTTTCTAATCTTGTTTTTGAGGATGTGACACTGGTTGCATTTTGCATGGGTGGTTTTTCCTCTATGACGAAGTTTTTTCCTCCATCCACTCTTCCGCAAAGTCCTAAAGAAAGTAGAACAGCTAGCTGATGGTTGCCCTGCTGAATGACAGGCTGCAGTGTAGAGCCGGTACAAGTCTGAAAAATTTCCTGGTGGTAAGTATCTCCGAGGTAATTTGTCTGGAGATGTTTCCACCAACCCAGGGGCAGAACATAGGGCTGAGCTAACCAGAGCTTCAACTAAAGCTGCCCTTCCTTCTTCAGTTGTAAAATTGCCTTCCCCGACTTCCAACCTGTCATGGGTCAAAAATAGCTATAACTAAGACACAATACCTGATTTTTTTTGGGCGCTTTAGGCAGCATAAAAAAGTGGTTGTTGGGATAATCGCCTTTTCTGAATTTGAATCATCTAAGGCACTCGTGTGGAAGAGTCTCTGCAATGCTCCAGTACGTATGCTGCAAAAACTCCAGTACGGAAGCAGCTGCTCGGCTGGATCCAGCTCCTGCTCCTTAGTCAATTTGGCTGAAGGCAGTTGGAACATGTTGAGATGTTGAAACTTGCGATGAGGCAGTCCTATGGTGTAAAGATGTATCTAGAATATGTTGAGCAAATAGTCTCAGAGACCAAGCAGCCATATTTTCTGCCATCTTCTCCACGAAAGCACCGCTTGGTTCGGGCCAAGCGCCCTCGACCAATCCCCAGAAGCTGCAAAAATGCAGTGCGACAAACTTGAACACCTGTCAAGGGCAATGCAGGGTGAAGTCTAGCAATTTTTGCAACATTTTTGTAACACAATTTGTTTGGCCCCTATAGTCCTTCAATGAACCACCTGGACCGTGAGGAAGTCTTTGACGAAGAGCTGGAGCTTTCCTCACTGCCACTGCCACTTTCAGAATCGCTAGAGGCTTCAGATTCATCGGCATCTTGTCTGCAACTTGCCTGTAAGCTCCAAAGCCTTGGATTCAAACTGAAAATCACAAGAAGTCTTGGAGTTGTTTTCTCTGTTATAATATTTTTTTCAGAACGAAACAAAGCAGAATGCCAAGTAACAAACAATCTTGGCCAGCCTTGCTCAGACTCCAAAATCCAACACAAAAGGTAAAAATAACCTTGAAGTTGAGAAGTCGTTTGCATCTCTTTCGACAGCATGGTTTCTTCATGGCCTGTAAGATTCGTTCCCTGCTCTTGCCGTTTGCAGCAGCTTGGGAAGGATCTCCATCCCCTGTAGTTTCCATGCAAAGAACTTGGTTCAAAGTCAAGTTCCTCATGTTGTTGATCAAGCCGGACGTAGATCTGACTGAAGAAGAGGAAGATTCAGACCCACTGCACGGCTCACCACTTCCACAACCATTGGAATCTTCAGATCCATCAGAATCAGGGGCATCATAGCGAGCAAACATTGCAGAAAGTCTATGTAGTCTAGTAAAATCAATTTCTTCATGTAATGATGTGGATACCAAATGATACCAAAACATGTCACATATAGTTCATGCGCAAATGGTTTTTGAGTGAACATGGGTAAAGTTGCACTTTCAGCGTTTCAACATCTAAGGCTCTTTGATCAGAGTGTGCACATGACAGCTTGAACTTCGAAGTGACGGTGCAAGGCCACTGATTGCAGCATGTGTCACGCTCTGCCAGCATTGATTTTCAACAAAGAAACTGATCTTGTGAAATGATGTGAAATGTTGTTTTGGTATGTTGCACGAAACCCAACACCCTCAGCCCTCAGCTTGTTTTTACATCAGTTCTGCAAACGCTTGTCCATCTCAGCATTGAATTTTTCCAAGCTGCACATTGCCAGAGCACATACATATGCTGCAGCGACTGCTTTGACGTGGTACGCATTTCCAGCGAGGGAGTGTATTTCCTTGGCCAAGCAAGCAAGACTGTTTCTGAATTGAACCTTTCTATTCTATGAAATCAGTTTCCAATGATCACATTATGGTTATGATATTAAATTTCAATCCAAGAATCGGCATTGGTGAGATGTGCCAGCTTCAACTGATGTACTGGAAAGCTCTGACATAGTAGTTTTTCAATTCCTGAATGGTTTCAGGGCCAAAACATATTGGCATGCATTTTTTGGAATGCTGTGGAACCAATATTTAAAACATGTGAAACCATTTTTGTTTGCACATCACGGCCTGTCAAATACCTTTTGTGTCGCATTGACCATAATGTCCCACTTGGAGTTATGCAGGGCACCAAATCCGAAGAACCTGATATCATTCGATGTATGCTCTGGCTTGTGTTGATGAAGTTCTGGCCAAAAGTTCCAGCTGTATTGAAGATGTCCAAGGCATGTTGGACTCGTTGGGAATGAACCACTCCGCGGCTTTCGTTCAAGGGCTGCAGATCTTTAGGTGATACCTTCAGGGTAGAGGGATTGAAGCGAGGTAAAGTGTTAAAGATTCTTTTTTTGGCAACTGAGGCCTCGAGTTCTTGCATCATAGCCCAGTGCTGTTTCAACCACTTTGGGCATGTTTCTTCCGGCTCACTTGACCAATCCAAATCATATTCCACAGCATTTCGAGGCCCCATTTTTTTTAGTCTCTCGAGGTCATCTTGCACAATGGGATGAGAATTCGGGAAGAGCAATTGTGTCCTCAGCTTTTTTGTTGCATTCAATTTTAACACCCTTCAGATACTGGGCCATTCAAAGGACAACACAAATCAGAAAGTTTTGACTAACTAGGACCAACAAAGATCGGATCCAATTCCTGGAACACATGCAGCCTTTTGTAAACTGTTTCCAAAGCTGTTTGCAAGCTCTCGTTGCTGTCGATGTAGCCCTTTGCCACTGACCTAGGCATGACGCCATTTGAACGAATGATTGAATGCCATCACCCAAATATTTGGGATGCACGTTGATTGAAAACACAATAACATAGTGAAAATATTGTTGACAAATTTCTATGGATAAATATGCTGTGACTTGAACACCAAGATACTTGTGAATGAGCACAATGTATACACGTCTCCGTTGGACACAGTCCCCAAGTCGCTTGGGGTCCACAATCAGTTTGGCAAAAAAATAAGATGTCAGCTTCTCCAAGTAGCGAATGACAAGGTGCCAACATCGAAGCAATCCTACCACATTTTCTAAGATGCAAAGAAGTGGCGAAATTGAGTATATTGTTCTCATAGCCTCCCGGAAAACTTCCACAGCTTCCTCTTCAAAGAGAGATGAGTTGTTGTGGAGTAGGGAGAAAGGTTGGCAGGGAAATCCTATGTCGTAGCAAGACACATGTCTAGGCAGATCTCTCCGACTTCTTGTCAGAATATCGGTATGAATCCTCACTTGAAGTAACATTCTGTCAATCCCCTGAACAACAAATTGCTAAAATTCAGTGGAAACAAAAAGGTATAGCTCCCATGTTCCCCAAAGTAACTTGCATTAAAGGCACTCCTGAGCTTCAGTGTTTGCAAGAAGAAACTTTAGCCCTGCATGTGCACATTCGGCATGTGAGAGCACTCGGCATCGATCTCCAGTGATCTCCTTCAAAGCCCACCACGAGCCAGCAGCTCCAGAACCTGAAAAAATGTTGGTTGAAAGTTGGCTGAAAAAATGTTTGGAGCAATTGGTTTGTAAGTTTGTTTTGTGTTTCTTTTTGACAAGATTAGGCAAGGAACAGTCTGACATCAGGGAAAGTGGAACGTTCAACCCAGCCAAGAAGTCTGTAATGCCTGGCTGCCACAAGCAGTACCAGTTGACATGTACATTTGATCACATCACAAAACTGAGCTGTATATCAATGAGAGTTTGATCACAACACAAATTTCTAGCCAAGTTTCCTGCCCGGGATGCCATCCTTCGACCCCAGCCAGAAACATGACACACTTGCACTGGAGAGAGTGTCACATGAGGCCTCAAGTCACCAGTCCTTAGATTGACTTAGATGTCAACCAATCTCAACCCCACTAAGTTTGACATGCCACAAAAACAAATGATGCATTGAACATTGGAATGGATTTTCCCTTAAAAACATGAACCCCGAAACTTGGAAACTTGAAAACTGGAATGCACAACTGTTTGAACCCCAACTAATGACAAACAAGAATCACTTCCCTCCGAGCCCTCTCAAGTGGGTCAACATGTGATGACGAGCTTGAGGTGGACGAACTGGAACCACCCGAGGTCTCTGAAGAATCGCCATCACCATCATTAGATTCACTATCACTATCCAGTGAGACCCTGCCAAGCCTGCTTTGAGGCGATCTAGACCTGTCTGTCATTTTTCAGTATCATGAGCCAAGATTCCTAACAGCACCGACTCGGAAACAAAGGTGGCTTTTCATGGCTTTTGGTGCACTGCACTGACATCACTCTGACCCAGTGGCTTTTGAAAAGTAAATGCTGGCAGGTAGCCATATGTAGCCCAACAGTGCCAACATAATCGAAGCACAGCCTCACCAGAGAAAAGAAACAACCCTGATACATGTCAACTATTTTGCATAAATATTATCAAACATTTTGAAAATTGAATGCTGGCAGGTAGCCATATGTAGCCCAACAGTGCCAATATAATCGAAGCACAGCCTCACCAGAGAAAAGAAACAACCCCTGCAACAAAAATTGCAATCAATAAGCAGTAGCATTAAAGAAAGAACAGGCCAGTGACCAGCAGCTGCAATGTAAGTCCATTTGTTTGCACAATCAATTCACTGGAAATTAAATGCAACCACGCAACCCAATGTGGTATATCGAAAGAAGCCTCAGATCACACCAGTGGCACGT